TGCTATAATAGAGATCCCAAATTCGATCTCCGACAGAACCGAAAATTTTCGTACGCTCGGAAGGCAATAGTAAATCACCGAATAGTATTATAGCCCTCCCTACTAAAAATTGCTGTTCAAAATCGGCATTTAACTGTAAATCTTCATATATCTTGTGTATGATCAGTGCACAAAGGTAAATGAGAAGGAGATATTTACATGCTAATAACAATGTTTGATTCTTGAAAAATTCTTGCATTACAATCAAATTTATATCAATACATTACATAAATACATTGAAGCATAGTAAATCGCTACTAAATACATATATTGTACATCATGATTAATTTATATATTACATTTTAAATTGATTTATATCATTACGTTAAAATTTCAAATTCTGTCACTCTACTATATAACATCATATTTTATTAATCTTATTTATTATTTCTACTTTTTAATTCTTTTAACTGTTGAAATTTCCAATATAAATTGTTTTAATAAAATTTATACTTAAGCAATTACTCATTTTGTTACATGATAAATATTTAATTTTATTTGCTTCAAAAAAGTGGTCTACAAATTTTTCATATAACGATTAAATATCATTAGGATACACACACACACACGCACGTACGCACGCACGTTCGCACGCTCGCACGCACGCAAGCACGCACGCACGCACGCATGCACAAATTCAAGACGAAAACTTTATATGACCATATGTCCGGAACAGTTTAGTTTTAAAGATAGATAATGTCACAATTAAAAAAAATTTATTTTTCCCAAAAATTTTGAAAACTACTATTCAGGCTGTTTTGAAATTTTTTAAAATATTTTTGATAGAATGAGCCATTTTCGAGAGCATTATATCTACTAATCAAATAAAACTTTTGCAATCTATAAATTTTAACTTACTTTTTTTCTTCAAAACTTATAGGTTATTCTTTCGATAATATTAAAGAGACTTTTTTTCTTCTGATTCATTCTATTTATCATAAAAAAATTTCAAACAAAAACTCTGTGTGTGAGTGTGTGTGTGTGTGTGTGTGTGTGTGTGTGTGTGTGTGTGTGTGTGAGAGGGGGAGAATCATTCTAAAACTTTTTAGCGTACTAAGAACATATTCTGTACATGTATACATATATGTAGATATATATTCGACTAGAAAATTTCTGAATATATTTTTAATTATCAAAATATATCTTTATATATTTCAAAAATATATTTTCAATTATGAGAGAACAAGTAATTCAATGATCGAATATATATTTGTCTATGAAATAACTAATACATATAGCATTAAAGATAATTACTTTAATAATCATACAAAGAATTCGTTACAAAATAAAATTTTATATAAAAATGTTACAAATCTTATAAAAACAGATACAATCATGTTTGTGTATTAAAATGCATCTAATCTTTTTTTTAATATTCCAAAATAAAAAAATATGCAATTCTAGACTGGATTAGAGTTATATTTCCAATCCTTTTATGTTGAGTCTTACGTCTCATTATAATTTCTATTACATACAATTTAGACACACTATATTATTAAACACTATATATTACACACTATATTATTAAATCAGTATAAAACATTAGTAAATCATTGATTTTCTGATTGTCACCCGTATCAAGGTATTTTGGTTTGTTCATCTTTGAATCCTCTCTGGTTTTCTTTACATGCGAGCTAGAAATAGGATTAGGAAATTTATCATACTTAGCATGTCCTCCGAAGCCATCAAAACTCATGCCACTGCCACTGGCAGTCTTCTAAAATATATAAAATATGAGAAAAGTATAAAAATTGTAACAAATACAGATATAACATTATATTAAATATAAATACAAAGCAGTTTACTTGATTTAATGAGTCAATTCTTGATTTTTTCACAAGTGTCGAAGGTATTTTTAAATTATTATTTTTATGTCTCTTTATACCATGGTCCCTTGTAGAAAAGAAATCCTGCGATTTATTCCATGGGATATTCTCGGTACTATCATCCTATAAAATAAATATTATCCTGGCATAAATATCAAAAATAAATTTAATAATTAATTTTTAGTAAAATTAATATTTAGTAAAATTAATGAGTATAATTAAACAAAACAAATTGTAGCTCACATACTAGATTTATGCTACTACTCTTTTTGAGTTTTGAAATGTATTCCATTTTTGGCATATATTCATTCATTGTTTTATTAGATTTTACGGTATAAGATTCCTTATGCTCTTTTAAATTTTCTTGCTCATAGCTCTCTTGCTGCACGGATATTTTATTATAACATACGCATTTTTGTGGCTCTATTTGCATGTTAAAAAGCTGAGTTTGTAAAGATATCTTTTCGGTTTCACAGCGTTTTAATTGTTCTTCTAATTCTGTAGAATGTTGTTTCAATTCACTAAAAATATGTATAATCTCTAAGGAAAATGATTCTTAAAAAAAATAACTTTAATATATCAAGAATATTTATACTTTTGTTTAGCACATTCCTGTACCAAAAATTTATTTTTTTTGGAGACTTGCATGAATTTTTGTTGCTCATTCCTACATTTGTTCCTTAACTCTTTGCTCTTCTCACGCATGCTATCGAGTTCCCTGAAAATTCAATATAAAGTACATAATATTATATTATATCTTCACAGATACACTGTATATAAATCAATCAAATATACAAAACATGTAAATATAAAATACTTTTTTAATATTCCTATGTATATCCTGAGTTTGGAAACATCATCTGTTTGCATTGTTATATTCTCCACATTAGACGTAGAAGAATCATCTATTAGATTCTGTACGCTATAAGATCAACATTTAATTATAAGATTAAACAGAAACTTGAAAATTGTATGTATATCTCTAAAATAAGTAGTATAAAATAATAGTATAATAATAGTAATAATAGTATAATAAACATACTTTTTTAAGAATTTTAGTTTTTTCTTCAACTCTTCATTCTCTTTCCTATCATTTTCTGCATTTGAACATTGTTGTTTATAAAATTTAATCTGATCTTTATATGCATGAATTGCAGAATTCTGGTTAATTACTTCACTTTCAACTTCATAAATTCTATGTCTTAAGCCAGCTGTTTGATTCTTTAATTTGTCATTGTCCTCTGTAAGATTACTAAGATTTTTGTCTTTCAGTTTTAATTGGAAATTCAAGTTGTCAATTTTATTCTGCAGAGATGCAGGATCTTCTGCAATGCTGTCATTATTTGAAAAGTTGAAATATAGCCTATGTATTGTACGAGTAGTTGTTATTACTCGACATTGTGGACAAGTCTTTGATCTGAAACAATTTCACAGATAAAACTAAACTGCTTCCAAAAGTGTAAATAATAACAAAAACTTTCAGGAATGATATGAAAGTTCATGAAACTTTTTTGAATAATGGGCCAAAAAAGAGTTAGAAGAGAAAACATGTGCAAACGTGACATCGCAGATAGCACACTGGTCTATTGTGACAGAAGTCTCGGGTTTAATCCTGGTAGGAACCAAAATATTTATACTCATGTCTTCGCTCGGAAAAGACCGGCACGAGAGTATCCTTGCCTATAGAAACACCTTCCGAAAAATCCATCGTTCGGAACCAGTATTAAAAAACTATAGATCATATGCTTGTGGCAATTGAATAATTAGTGTGCGCACCACAAGCATATGTAAGTGAGAGATGTAATACAGGCCAGAAGCCTAATGTAAGAGGAACAAGAGAATGCAAAAATCTTTGAGACAGTAGGTATCCAAATTACCTTTCAAGCCATTGCAATAAGCATGCATAATGGAATATGTGTCCACATGGTGTATGGAAAATATCGTCGGATGGTACCAATAACTCGCTACATATCACGCATATTAGATTCATTTTTGTGTAGATCCGTTGATGAAAAACCGGCGAGGATATGATTGTGTGATAACTAAACTTCGTATTAGATGATTAAACGGTCTACAATGAGATTTTAAAGTATAAAACTTAAGTTTTAAACTAAATCGTAAAAAATTGATCAATCATAGTATATCATATTGTCCTCACATTCGATTATAATTGATCAATTTCTTACGGTTTAGAATTTAAAGCTTAAATTCATGTCTTCAAATTTCATTGTAGACGCCGCTTTTTATGGATTTCATAAAGCTCTCGTAATATTTTATCGTACGTTACCAAATTATGAGTTCTTTACTCATACCGTTGCAAATTGAAAAACTTCACATGCCGTATACACAAATTAAAAACGTTGATACCAATTTGATTCAGACCGCTCTGACAACCAATTGCTCTAAAATACTCTAAACTCCGATGTCTTCGATGGACATCAACACAAGTACACATCAGCTGAGTACACAAGTCCGCCAAAACTTGTGACTTTAAATAGCACCATCTATGATGCACATTTTACGTTACGTATTGCCACTGCTGCTAGTTTTTGCCAAAATACAGTAATATATCGACGAAATATTATTTTTAAAAATATTGTATATTAAAATAAATTTTTAAAATTCCAAAATTTCTAAATTTAAATCTTAAACTCATAAAACAAAAATCTAAATTAAAAAATTGAAGTTTATTTTAATTTTAATTTAACAAATTTTACATCGACGTTATAGCTTCAACGTAAATTAAGCCGTGTAAACGTTGTCATATCTACATCATAAATAAATTCATAAATAAATTATTCAAAAAATAATACATAATAACACAATTGTTTTATTTCTATGACAATACATGTAATATAATATTTACTAATAATATTTACAATATTTACATAAATCTAACGCTCACGAATAAGCGCTGATACTTGCTCACAATTATAATTAAATGAAATCAATAGGCAGAACATTTTTATGCTGGTCAATCAAAAAATATAACTGTATATCTATTACTATCACTTCAAATAATTTGTTGAACAAGTATATAGTAATTGAAAATAGTTTAGCAAAGACGTAATTTTTCTGCGAAGGAATCTTGCTAGCAAAGTTTCTTCAAGATTGTCACAAGTTTTATATCTCTGTTTAAATATTAAAAAAGCATCGCCTCCGAAATATTACATTATTTATAATTTAGAATCTTCCTGATTTTCCTCCTGCTTACAAGAAGAAGAACCAACTTTGACATTTTGTGCAGTCTTTGTCTGCTCCTCCAAGTTACTCAGGTTCGGCGAGCTCCAGGTCTGACTCAAGATTGTGCTCATTGTGGGTATACTATCGGTGGTTCTTCTGCGGTTCGACAGTTTGCCAGACAATCTTGACCGGAGGATACTCTTCTTCTTCCTGGAATCGCTGATCGACCGGTCTCGTCTCGTTATCAAGTATTTCGAAGAATTCTTGATGCTCGAAAGACTAATTGGTTCGTCACTAATCATAGACATATCGACCGTTTCTGAAGTAAACGATTGCTGACAGGAGACTCGTGTGCATCGAGATCGATGTGAAGATCCATACCACGTATCATCATCATCTTCCTCAGCGTCATCGCAGTCACAAATGTTCGATGCGTTATTCATTCTCTCTTCCGCAAATGCTGAATTTATGACATCTTCCTGGTTCTTCTCGCTCTGCGATGAAACGCTAGGTCGTCCTTCGGAATCTATGGAAGGTCGACGATGCAGACTCTTGAATGAATTCTTCGCCCAGGGATCTTCGATTTCAACAACAGTCGTGGGAATTGCAGGCGTCGGAATCGATGATATCTGAGCAGGGCGTTGGATATTCGTAACGCTCGGCCAAGGACGCAACGCTGGTTTAGGAGTTTTCGTTAGAACCGGAAAGAAGGGTTTTACGGCGCGAGATGCTGAGCTCTTTGTTAAGGAAGAGAACTTCCGAACGGCCTCGACTATTATTCGTCGCTGCTCCGTTTCGACCGGTGGTTGCTCTTGACCATCCAGCTGCATAATCGTTTCGGAACAATTGCGAGCCATCTTCGCAGGTGTTGAAGGGGACCCGCTGATCTGGCTAAAACAAACGAATCTAACTTAATGGAGTTCTTCGAAGCTTGTTCGTCTTAGTAAAACGAGATAAAGAAGAAAAACTTTGAGAAATATCTTATATATATATATATA